AAAGGACACTTTTCCTTCACTCCTACAGTTAGAGCTTTATTTCTAGATTTGTTCTTGTCCTCTGTGTGGGGGAGACAGGATGTGTTCCGCGGTGTGCTCCAAAGCCTCTTGCAACACTGGACACAAAATGCACTTTACAAATGTGTGGGAAGGATGGAGGGATGTCTTCTCGCTGGACTCTGGGACCTCAAAAGATGGGTGCCCTGATGAGAAGAGCTCAGAATTTTGTCTCTAAAGTCCAAATATGTGGCAGGATGACCACTCCCTCACTTTCTTAGTTTTTTTCTCCCCAAACAGAGCAGCCCCACCTCTGGTGGCAGCAGCTCTGGGTAAACGCCAAGTTCCAGAAGGAAGTGACTTCTCAGAGACCAGGCCCTAACCCACAGGAATGTAGCCAGAGGCTCAGGTTTTATCTGTTCAAGCAAGGTGGCAATGGTTAACTATTTCAGTGTGAGTTCTTAGAAAATTCTATGGGTTGGAATGCTAGCAAAATCAGCTCGTGCTACGGGTCACCCAAAGTGGTTGGAGTCAGGTGTTCAGGCACAGCTAGTCTCTGAGCTCTTTGAGGATTAAGCATAACCTTAACTAGTACTGTATTGTTGGTTTCCGGCACAGAGCCAGACACATAGCAGGTGTGCACTAATCCTGCTGTGAAGAAATCAATAAATTCCACTGTGAGAACACGTGCTTTCTGCACACGGTAAGCCCTTTACGCATTGTCTCCATTCTTCAGTACAATAATTCTGTGAAGCAGATGTTCTTATCCCCATTTTGCAAAGGAGGAAATGGAGGTTCAGAGAAAGGTAATTTGCCCAGGGTCAGGGTCACACAGCCAGTGAGAGGCAAGGCCTCTCCAAGTGGAAATCCCTCCCAATATTAAAACAATGGCCTGAAATGACAACTGCTGTTTCGGGGGCCAATAAATTAACGTCCTCCCCTTAAAGTACTCGTCCCCCATTCCCAGCCTCTCTGCCACCCAGGCACTGTCTCCTCTACCCCTCGCTGCTCTGGCCTTGCATGATTTCGGTCCTCTCCACTTTCTGGGTTCTCCTCTTGCTTCTCTGATGGCTGTTCTTCTTTCCACTTCCTAAAGGCCGGTGCTGCCCAACACTTTTCCTTGGAGCTCTCTTTTTCCTTCCAGCCCTCTCTCTGGCTCGCCTCTCAAACCTGCATGCCCAGCTCAGACCTCTCCCAGGAGGTCCAGATCCATCCAGCCCCCGACGACTGCTGCTAGTTACTCCTCTCAGAATGCAGGTCCTGCTCTGAAACCTTCAATGGCTCCCCAGGGCCCATCAGAGCAGCAAACAACTCCTCAAGGCATTCAAGGCTCTAGCACACCTGTCCCTGTTTCCCTCCCAACTCACAGCCTTCATTCATCTGTGCTCGCTGCCTTTATCCTGCTGTCCATTCAGCATGGCTGCCCTCCCTTTCCCTGCTGCTCAAGGGAGCTCTAACTTCCTGGACTATGGCACAAGCTCCTCGTCCATGAAGTCCTTCCTGATCCCCCTCCCCAGGTAGGTGTGGCTTCTCCCTCTTCAGGAAACTCCTTGAAGACCCCATCCCAGCATTCCCTGGGTAAAACCTACTTCCGTGCTTGCTTTGACTCTCCTACGCTGGGTCAGAAAGGAAGCCCCACACAGCATCAGGGGACAATGGCTGTTCTGTATAATTTGGCTTCTTTAAGAATCTCCCCAACTGCAGAATGAGATGGTGAAACTGGATCAGCATTTCTCAAATTTCTGTCATTCAAGTACCACCACTGTTGCTTTATTCTTGTACTACAGGTACTATCATACAGTTACTATGTATCCACTCTTTTTAAAAATAATTTAAAAAGGAAACCTAAAATTGCTTACTGTGAGTGGAAAGCCAATGTCACTTTTGATAAAAGTTGCAGTAATGAAAAGGTCATCATGAAAATAAACACGTAACTGACAAAATAAGAAATGTCTGTGTAATGCCTCCAATCTTCCCATCCACAATTCTGGGAAATAATCTACTAGATTGTCAGAGGCTTTGTCTAAGATAAACAAAGCTGAACACTAGCTAAAACTGTAAGGACAGAATTTAATCAGTCGTAACTACTGCAATAGGGAAAACAATCTAGTATGAACTGAGCTCAACATTGATTTGTACGAAAAGTAAATGGGCATTTTAAAAAGAGGATGAGGGAATAGGGAGAAGGACAAGCAGCAGTTTAACAGAATCAGGGAAGTGAAAAATGACAAAGGGTTGATCAGTGTAAGTGACATTAGGCCAGCTGTGTCTGCTAGCTACCAATTACCAAAGTTAGGATGCCATCCTCCCAAAGAGACTGGGAGACAGAAACTCTATCCTCAGGTGTTGGATGAAACAAAACAGTAAATATTTTGGCAGCCTTGAGTTTTCTCAGGTAGGCACTTTAAGAGGGGGTGGTGGGGCCAGTGTCACCTTAGGTAGGGGCCACCAACCCCTGGGCTGTGGACCAGTACTGGTCTGTGGCCTGTTAGGAACCAAGCAGTGGCATTAGATTCTCATAGGAGCTCAAAACCTGCTGTGAACTGTACATGCGGGGGATCTAGGTTGCATGCTTCTTTTAAGAATCTAATGCCTGATGATCTAAGGTGAAACAGTTTCATCCCCCATTTTTTTTTTTTTTTTTTTTGAGATGGAGTTTCTCTGTTGCCCAGGCTGGCATGCAGTGGCACAGTCTCAGCTCACTGCAACCTCTGCCTCCTGGGTTTAAGCGATTCTCCTATTTCAGCCTCCTGAGTAGCTGGGATTACAGGCCCATGCCACCACACCTGGCCAATTTTTATATTTTTAGTAGAGACAGGGTTTCACCATGTTGACCAGGCTGGTCTCAAACTCCTGAGCTCAAGTGATCTGCCCACCTCGACCTCCCAAAGTGCTGGGATTACACGCCTGAGCCACCGCACCTGGCCAAAAATGGCTGATTTTACTAGGCAATCCTATTGTTATTTATTTATTTTTTGAGACAGAGTCTTGCTCTGTCACCCAAGCTGGAGTGCAATGGTGTGATCTCAGCTCACTACAGCCTCCACCTCCCAGGTTTGAGCAATTCTTGTGCCTCAGCCTCCTGAGTAGCTGAGATTACAGGCTAGCACCACCATGCCCGGCTAATTTTTGTATTTTTAGTAGAGATAGAGTTTCACCAAGATGGCCAGGCTGGTCTTGAACTCCTGGCCTCAAGTGATCTGCCCACCTTGGCCTCCCAAAGTGCTGGGATTACAGGTGTGAGCCACCACGCCAGGCCTTCATCATAGAATTATTGCCCATCCCCACCACCCTGTCTGTGACAACATTGTTTTCCATGAAACTTGTCTCTGGTGCCTAAAAGCCTGGGAATTGGTGATCTTAAGGATGTGACGCTGTTATTAGAAACTGTGTTCTGTTCAGTCTTTATAGGCCAAGATTGAAGCCTAGTTGAGAAGAGGACTCAGAGGAGCTTGGCTAGGTTCCATCAAGAAAAGAATCACTATCGGCTTCTTTACCTTAGCCCCTGCCTCTCCCAATAAAAGCATCAATATTGTGACTACATACCAGGTGTTTCACAAAGTTATGAAGTAGTCATAATTAATATCCTCATTAAAAGGTTGAGAAAACTGAGGCTCAGAAAGGTTGCCTGCCCAAGGTTCCACAGCCAGAAGTAGCAGTGCTGAGATTTGAACCTAGGTCTAGGTCTCACTGGTTCCAGAATTCACTGTCGTCCAAAGTGCATAGCTCCATTCTGTTTCTAGGCTCTATAAGCCATCCCTCTCTTGCACATGCCCATTTTATGAATGCCACTGGTCCCGAGTATTGAGTCTGGACAAGTATGTGGCCCTGTGGATCTTGGCTCTGGCTGCACCACCTGGGGAGCTTTAAAAATACTGATGCCTGGACCTCACCCCTAGAAGCTCTAAGTAACAGGTGTGGAGTGCAACCCACAGGGATTTTTAGAAGATTCCAGGTGATTTCTGTCAGGAGCCAGGTTTGAGACCCACTGTGCTAGAAGCCTTCACAGTTGTCATCCCATATGATCCTTACAAGAGCCCTCTGAGAAAGGCAGGCAAGTGGCAATGCCCATGTCCTGCTGACGAAGAAAACTGTTGAGAGGCTAAGGCTCAGAGAGTAATATCTGGACAGAAAGCAACATTTCTGACCTCTAGCTCTGAGTTCTCTGCCTAAAGGTTCTGCTCTACAAGGCATAATTAAGAAGAAAAAAAAGCAACATCTCCAAGAACAGCAGCTTAATTTCTCTTGTACAGTAAAAGTCATTTCTCGCCCCCATTGAACACACGGAGGAGAGGTAGTGCCTGCTTCAGCCATAGTACCCAAAACAAGGCCAGGGGATCCCAGGGAGGTGAGCAGTGACCCCCTTCCTGACAAAGTGTTCCCCTGGCAGTAGCCAAGGGAGGGCTAGGGGACAGGGGCCTGCAATTCTGTGATAGCGCTGCAGCCTGCTTTCCACGCCCACTTTTCTGCAACGGTTTGTGATCTGGACTCCCTGAGCACCCGTGGGGAGCTGGGGGCAGCCTAGGGAAGTCGGGACCTATTCCTGTATCCTTCCAGGCAAGCGTCCCTGGCCACCTAGCCTTGTCAGGGTCCAGGCCATGGGACCCCCTGTGCATAACCCTGGGCCCGCCAGCCTGTTCCGGCCCTGACGTTTGCTCACTGATGATGTGCAGAGGGGAGGGGGCGGTTTCCCACCTCTGGGAGAAAAGAGGGCACTGTCCGCGCTTGGTAGACTTGGGGGGGCGTCACTGCCCACATGTGGGGGACGTCACTGCTTACCCCTGGGGGTCTTAAGGGTTCCCAGTGGTGGGCAGTCGACAGGATACTGTCCACATCTGGGGCCAGCAAAGGACCCCTGTACCTCAACTGGAAGGCGAGAGCTTCACCTCAGCCTTGCGGTCATGAGGGGGCAGAGGGCCCCTACCCACTCCAACCCCCTAAAAATGCAACAATCCCAGGCACACCTTAGGCCGCAGCCTGGCTGTGACCGAACAAAGCGCGACCACACCCCCGGGGAGAGGCCGGGTTGGGACCGCAGGGCGCAGCTCTGCCAGTCCCACCCTTCGGCGCAGGGCTCCTGCCGACACAGCCCTCCAGGCCGCCTACTCTCCAGCCAGCCGGCTCCACGGACCCACGGAAGGGCAAGGGGGCGGCGTCGGGGCGGCGGGACGGTCGTCGGAGGGCGCCCTCCAGGCCCAAGCCGCCTTCTCCGGCCCCCGCCATGGCCCGGGGCGGCAGTCAGAGCTGGAGCTCCGAGGAGTCGGACGGGCAGCCAGAGGAGCAAACGCCCGAGAAGCCCGGGTGAGCTGCTGGGCCGCGCTGGACGGCCGTCGGGGGTCTGGTCCGCGAACCTGCCGCGGCGCCGCCCGGAACCTCCGCGAAGGTTCTAGGTCTTTGTGGCGTCACTGTCTCCTTGCGGAAGCTTCCGCCGGTGCCGAATAAAACCCGCCGCGGAGGAGCCGGTGGCTCTAGTGCGGCGGTGCCCGGCGTGAAAGTCGGCCCAGCGCGGGGAGCGGGCGGGAGCCACAGGCGGCGGCGAGGGCGGTGGCAGCGGTGACCGTGACCGTGACGCGCGGGCGGGCGGCGGGGGCGCGGGCCAGGGTCCCGGCAGGGGCGTCCGGGGCACTCTGACCGGCCTCGCCCGCCCGCCCGCAGAGACAAGATGGTGAAGGAGACCCAGTACTATGACATCCTGGGCGTGAAGCCCAGCGCGTCCCCGGAGGAGATCAAGAAGGCCTATCGGAAGCTGGCTCTCAAGTACCACCCGGACAAGAACCCGGATGAGGGCGAGAAGGTGCGGGGCGGCGCGGGGCGCGGGGCGGGCTCCCGAGGGTTATTAAGCCAGGAGCACTGAAGGCGGCGGGAAACCTGAGCCGCGTTTGTTGGGGAGGCCGTCGCCAGGCGCCTCGGGGCCAGGCCGGGGCAGAGGTGGCGCGGTCGGTGGAGGGCGCTTCGCCCGCGGAGGAGGCATGTGGTGTGGGCTGGGGCCTCTCGCGAGTCCGTGCCGAACCCATTCATTCCTCCATTCGCTCCACAAGTGTTTGGGTAGCCCCTGCAGTGCGCGCTGGAGTCCGGCGTCAGGGAGGCGCAGGGGCTGAACCCAGTTCACATAGGGGTGTGTTGGCGTTCCTGTGGGAGAGGCGGCATGGAAATCGGGAAACTGAGGCACGCACAAACAGTTGTGTACTTGCTGGGAACGACTGGCTCATGTTCTCTGTTGATGCATAAACCCTAGGGATGAGTGTCTTTAATCTGAGCTGGTACCTTGGACAAACGCCGTGTCTCTCTTGAGAATGACTAGCTGGATTTGTTCTGTGCACCTACTTCCTACCTGATAAAAGTGTCAGATAGTGAATAATTCCATTTTCTTTATTAAACAGGGACATGGACATGTGCAGCCTGACATTAGCTTGTACTCATATTCTGGGTTTTCGGTGACAGGTGACACACAGTTGATCATAAGTACCAATCATAGACTGAAAATGCTCTGCATTTTAGAGACAGAAGTTAAAAGCTTTTCCATCCTGTTTACAGAAAGTTTGTTTTTTATCTCTAAAGAGGCTCATGACCCACCTGAATACGTGAATTGAAGGAATGAGGCGTTGCAAGGAAAGGCTGCTGGCCCTCCCATTCCTCTTTTCACTTCTTGCCATTTTCTTGTAAAACTTTGATTGTCCCGCATGGGTCTTGGGAGATGGGGCCGTTATAGTAGCTGATGGCAGTGTCACCTGGGCCACTTTTGAAGCCACACTGATCACCCATGTAGCATTTAAGACCTTTGGAAACGACACTGGAATCAAAATACCTGTCTGCATTAGTTATTCCAAACTGGAGAAAGCTACTTCAGGACGGTTTGGCTGAACGGCAACAGTGATGGAATATTTATATTTAGCCACATGTGCTGAATGTGGCTGTCACAAGTTTAAAATGCTTTCGTGTAAGACCATTTGTCTGTTACTCACTTGCGTTCTTTCTCATCTATATTTAGATGGCTTACTGTAGCTTTTAAAGGCACTGGCGTTTTACATGGTGCTAGTGATTCATCCACCTGCTCCCTACATTGATTGTAGTCTGCTTCTGACAGTCTCCTTTAAGGAGAGCTTCTAGGCTTGTAATTTCATATTTCAGCAGGCTGGCTAAAGACGTGGGAAAGTCTTCTGACCCTGGTTTCAGGTCAAACCTCAGCACTCAGAAGAGTAAGTTCATGCCTCTGTGTATACAGTTAGAGCTGAATGTGCTTTTGTTGTTCTGAAGCTTTTATTTTTAAAACATTAGACTTGACCTGTACTACATATATGTAGGTTTCACCCTGTCAATACCTGTCTGGGCAGGTTGTTTGGTTTGTTTTAAACTAATATTTATTTATAGCCAGGCACTGAGTTAGTGTCGCATAAATGAGGCCCTTGGCAGTGAGGTCTGGCAAGCCCATCTCAGCTTGGAGGGAGGGGTTCTGTGATGTGCCTGTTGCCAGGAATACTTTCCTTCCCCTACCTTCACGGAAGGGGATAAAACTCCTTAGTTCTCGCTAAAACATCTTCCAGGAGGCTGCCTCTGCCTCGTAGACTGAACCACAGGCCCAACATGCATCCTACTTTAATGGTGATTACTTGTTTGATTAACTGTATTCCTTTAAAGGTGATTACTTGTTTGATAACTGTATTCTCTGCCATAATATAAGCAGGGCAGTGACTTTGCCCCCATGGCCACTTATGGGGTGAGTAGCTAGCTGTGCAGGGTAGGTGCTAAAATGTTTGTTAGCTGGCTGAGTGAATGCACTTTAAAAAATTGTATGTAGGAGAAGAGGGCTCTATAAAGGCACAAATTGGAAGGGAAATTGCAGTGAAGGAATATTGGGAGGAGAGTGGCAATTTAGATTGGAAATCAAAGAGGATGAGGAGACTGGGGACACAATTTATAGAAACTGCTGTAAAGTTCCCCAGAGAGAGCTCATTCGTTCATTTGTTCATTCATTCAACAAATACCTCCTCTTCTGGTCCCCACTGTGTGCTGGGTGCACTGTGCAGGCCTTTTGTGAGTGTGTATGTGAGTCTGTGTGTAGTTCTTTTCCACTTTATCACAGGCAGAACATTTAAATTTTTTTTCCTCCTAAGTTTGTCACTGTATTATTAATGTCTCTTCAAAAATAGACTATGCCAGTTTTTTAGCCCTTGCTGGGACAACTGAGAAGGCTGTTGGGGTGTTGGTCTTTGTTTTTTGCCCTGTTGTCCCCTGTTGCTAAGCGTTGGGGCAGCTTGTGTTTGTCGGGCACTCTGTATGGAGTCTGTACTTATCTGCGGCTGGTTTTTTTCGCAAGACGCCTGGTGGTAGGTAGTGGGTCACCAAGGTAGTCCCTTTCAGGGGCAATGATGTGGGGTATATTCTTGGCTACTACCCTGTTGAGATGAGTTTGATCTTTTGGTCAATTTCATTGTAACTTTTAGTTTGAATGATAGATTTTCAAGTTCAAAAATCAAAAGATAGCAAACTGTGCAGAAAATTTTAGAACACAGAGGAAAACCTACTAAGCACACATTATCCTCACCACTCTGTGCTTCTTTCCAGGCTTCCCCCAGCATGATCATACATGGCCATCCTGATACATAGACATTTTGTTTTCTTGTTTCCACTTAATACTTTATTATAAGTACTTTTCCCAAGTTGTTACATAGTCTTCAAAGCCATTTTTCCCTCAGCTGTATAGTAATCCTGTTAAGGTTCTGTGACAAATGATCATGGCCTGAAAGGCAAGCTGGTCATAGCACTTGTCTCCCACTGGGAGAAGGGGGTCCAGGCTGGGAACTGAATTAGACTTTGGAGTCCTGGGACCCCAGAGGATGGACTCCCTACTGGTAGTTGGAACCCTCATCCCATGTGAGGTCTGGCCTCTGATTGAATGTCCCAAGCAACTGGGTACTCCTTTTCCATTCTTAGATAATTCTAGTAAGTGTAAATGTCATGTGAGTATCCAGGGTATTTGTTGAGTGTTTCCGGTGGACATTCCCATGAAGCTTATTTACCTAGTCCTGACCTGCAGATAGATGCAGAAACTCTCTAGGGGCAGCCTGGCCTAGATGCTTTCTGATCTGTACCAGGCACCCAATCCTTACACTGTATCTCAGGTTTTCTGCTGAGGAAAGGGGTAGTAGTGAATGGTACTTACTTCTTCGCAGAAATGGTATGAGAATCAACATATCAAAAGATCTAGCTGACTTATATATGATGCTGACGTCTTTTTAATACTTTTCTAAATTGTACAGTTTTTTAGCTATTATTTATTAGCTATTATTATTAGTTACTTATTAGATTTCAATCAGGGATTTGTAGAACAAGGGAATTAATGCCTCAAATTCCCTTGTTCTGTCTCTCAAATTCCTTATTTCATGGCACTTTTTTTCCCTGAATATTTTGTGAAGCCAGCTGCATTATAGGATCTGTATATCTATATATCCATATATGTCTCTCTGACTAAACTGTAGCCTCTGGAGGGCCAAGACCCTACCTCATTTATTTATGTCTGAGTTCCCAGAATCGAACCATTCATCTAACAGGTGCCTTCTACATGCCAGGCATGGTTCCAGGCTCAGTTAGACAGCAGTAGACAAAACCCCCCATCTTCACGGAGCTTATGTTGCAGTAAGGACTACGTAAGCTAAGCAATACATGATACAGCTTGTTGGAAGGTGGTTAATGCTATGGAGAAATATGCAGCAGGGGTGGGGGGTGGGAGGGTCTGAGGTGGGTTTGCAGTGTTAAAGCTGGATCACCAGGAGGCATCCCTGAGAAGGTGGTCTGTGAGCTAAGGCTGGAAAGAGGTGAGTGGGGAGGCCACACCAGGCTGAGGTGCCTCTGAGGCTCAGGCTGCAGAATTGAGGAACAGCAGGGAGCCTGGTGAAGCTGGCACAGAATTGAGGTGGGGAAGCACAGGAGGAGAAGAAAGTAGAGGTGCCAGGTTGAGCTTATAGATGAAAGTTAGGACTGGCTTTTACTCCCAGTGACATGGGCCACCTTGTAGAGGTTTGAGCAGAGGATTGACCCAATTAGTGGGCTCAAATGGAGAACACACTGAAAGCTGGGGCAAGAAGGGAACATGGAAGACCAGGGAGGAGGCCACTTCAGTAGTCCAGGCCTGAGATGGTGCTTTCTGCCAGAGTGGATGTGGTGTGGTGAGAAGGAACAGATCTTGCGTGTTTTAGCATTCTGATTTTATTTTTTAAATTTCCATATACCTGCAGAAAACATGAGTGGTACAATGAACACCTATGTATTCTTCACCTAGCTTTACCAGTTGTAAATAAATTGTCACATTTGTTTTATCTATTATTATTATTATTATTACTGTTGGCTAAAGGTTTTGGGAGGAAGCTACCTGTAGCGTAACTTTTCAGCCCTAAGTGCTGCATGTTTCTCTTAGGCACAAGGACATCCTTGTACATAACCATAGTGCAGTTATCAAATTCAAGAAGTTTAACATTGAGAACAAAGATTCACTTTTCTCCCATTGTTCCAATAATGTCCTTTGTAGCCATTTTTTTTTTCCCCCAGTGCAGGATCTGATCCAGGATCACACATTGTATTCGTTTTTTCCTATCTTTTAATTTTAGAGTATCTCTCAATTTGGCTTTTCTGATTCTTTCATACAATTGGGTTCCAGTGGTAACTCTTTGGCAGGAATGCTACACATGGGATATTGTGTGTGTCTCAGGGTACTGGAGATGCAAATGTGAAGGTAGCGCCAGTGGGATTTGTTGACAGGTGAGATTGGCATTGCCAATAACTGTGATATGGGGAAGACTATGGGCAGGATGGGGCTTTTGGGGGAGGATCAGGAGTATAGGTTTGTATACAATGTCTGGCACGTGGTTAGGTACTCACAGATGCCTGTAGTTGAATTTCATGCTAGTAAACTAATGAAATGATTCCCATGAGGAGGTGAGCCAGTGGTAGTGCCCAGAGTCCTAGCTTTATCTGGTTAGAGATTCAGCCCTGGCACTATCTCATGGTATCCTAGCTGGACTCGACTTCCTGTCTGGTGCAGCCAGATTAGGGAGAAACTTTCCTTCTCTACTGCCTTCTCTTCCTTATTCTTGTCATGTCCCTTTCACCAGTCGCTTAATATGTTTGCCCTGTGTTTCCCACTTTACCAAAGGAGTAAGTAGACAGGCAAGTCAGGTTCTAGGTAGAGGATGTATAGACTGGCTAGTTCAAGGGTTTGGGGCAGAATACCTCTATTACGTTGTATGTTTATATGGCGGGTTTGCTTAATAAAACAACTGAAACTTCTCTCTTTTTAAAAATCTCTCTCTCTCTCTTTCTTTTAAAGTTTAAACTCATATCCCAGGCATATGAAGTGCTTTCAGATCCAAAGAAAAGGGATATTTATGACCAAGGCGGAGAGCAGGCAATTAAAGAAGGAGGCTCAGGCAGCCCCAGCTTCTCTTCACCCATGGACATCTTTGACATGTTCTTTGGTGGTGGTGGACGGATGGCTAGAGAGAGAAGAGGTAAATGCTTTTAAAGAAACATAAATAAGTTGTATGGTTTCCACAATTGTACGTGTTTTTGGAATCAGGATAGATCATGCTTTAAAAGGATATGATTGGACCAGGTGTAGTGGTTCATGTCTGTAATCTCAGCACTTTGGGAGGCCAAGGTGGGAGGATCGTTTTGGGCCAGGATTTCAAGACCAACTGGGGCAACATAGTGAGACCCCCCCATCTCAAAAAAATAAAAATAAAAAAATTAGCCATGCCTGTAGTCAGCTACTTCTTGAGAGGCTGAGGCAGGAGGATGACTTGAGCCCAGGAAGTCAAGGCTGCAGTGAGCAATCCAGCCTGCATGACAGGGTGGGGCCCTGTCTTAAAACAAACAAACAAACAAACAAAAAAACAAGGTACTGTTGCCATGTTTTGGGATCATTAACTTTCAAGAGTTTATCACTTGTCTAGTGCTCAGGCTACCTGGAAACTCCTGGTAAATTTAGTAATTATCTGACATCCTCCAATACTATATGAAGGAGCAAATGGACTGGTGGATAGAAAAGAAGGTGGTCCAGTTCATTGTGCCTTCTTTTCCTCTGTTGTTGGGGTCAGGCACCAGAGTGTGTTGAGGGATGTAAATGACGCCTCCTGTGGTTGTCAGGGATCCTTTACGGAGAGTGTTCCTCTCCTCTCTTGCCCACCCTCCCTTTGTGGCCTTCCATTTTCCCTGACCTGGGCCTGGGCTGCAGGCTCTCTAATTCTAGGTGGGTACCCTTGCCATGTTCAGTATGGCCTCATTTCCCAGCCTGCTCAGGGGATTTTCTAGGTAACAAATTTTACCTCTTTATGTTTGAAATCTTTGTAAATGACCTGTCTTTCTTTTCAGAATGCTTTATGAGTAGTAGCAACTTCATCCCCAGGTGAATGAGGAACTTAGCCCTTAGCTCAGTGGCCCCAGGCCACTGTTTTGACTTTGGAGGTTTGCTCTTCCTAATTTTTCTGCATCTCACCTTCTGCCAGACTACAGGCTATTACCTCTGTTGTTAGTAGTTGCTAATGTTAGTAGTTGCCAATAGACTAGTTCCCATTCCCCCTGTTTAGTTTACTGTTGTCAGGCTGCTTTGAATCTTGAAACCAGAAAGATAAGCAGGCTTTTTATAATTCTGGATAAAGTCAGAAGAAATGAGCTCTGCCTTGGGGTTTAAGAAGTGTGGTTTTTGAGAGACCCCTAGATAAATGAAGCAGCACCTGTTATCACATTGTAATTGACTTTGAGCTTTAAAAAGCTTGGGTGTCAATTCTGTGAACACAGAGTGCTGAAAATCACAAAGTGTTTATTAGGGAAAAATCCTTCCCCTGTCCTTTGAGCATATTGCCTGCTCATAAAATTGATGGTGTGCACGTAATTAAAACTTTGGGTATTCTCTTGTCCAGCTCCCTCACTGTCTTGAGATGAAAAACTTCATGCCCTTAATTAAGTCATCTCTCAAAGTTGGCAGCCAGTAAACCAGGACAGCTTGTCTCAGTGACTGCGGGAGCTCCACGGGCAGCAGGGAGGGTCTTGATGCTGTCAGTCTTGACAGGCTGGCAGGCGCTGGAGCACACGCCCACCCTCAGGACCAAACACCCACCGTCCTGAGTGCAGAAGCAAGATTTTGGCAGAGGAAGGAATTCCCATTTGGCCACCAGTTACAGAAGGGCTCAGAAAGTAAAGTGCTTTATGCCCAAGGAAGAGTTTGAAAAGATCCAGAGACTTTGGCTGTCACAGATTTATGTATAGAAAGAACTCCTTTCATGGGGAAACTTAACCAACTTCGTGGGTTCATACTGCTTTTGGTTTCTCAATTAGTACTCTCCCTGTCCTCAGATTTGTTCTCCAAAAATAAAGGTGGAAAGTCTTTTTGTTGGCCTCTATAAATGATTAATTAGCTCATAGCTAGAGAAGGTATTAGCTCTTGTTATTGGCTGAGGGCTAGAAGGATGGGCTGGGGTAATAGAATAGAAGCATTGCTTCCTGCAGGGAAGGGAGCGCATGACCCATCCACAGTCTTGAATCTCTGGAGACTTCATACAACTAAGGGTCATATGGGTGGTATTTAATACAGTGGTATATTTCATTCAACGCCACTAATTTTTTTTCTCCCTTGCTAAGGCAAGAATGTTGTACACCAGTTATCTGTAACTCTTGAAGATTTATATAATGGAGTCACGAAGAAATTGGCCCTCCAGAAAAATGTAATTTGTGAGAAATGTGAAGGTAAAAATTAATTTTTGACTGAACCTCACAGTTCTGATCCCTTAGATTCAGAAACAATACTTGTTTTAGTTCAGGGAAAATAAGTTATCTTATTTCAAATGCAAGGGTCAAGCAGAGATTACAGACAGGTGGCCTGAGGACCACATCTCTTTGCCTGAATGAATGTTTTCTTTGGGCTGCACCTCTGTTTGACATGTTGACGACTATTTTTAAAAATTAAGAATCAGACACTTGACCCCATCTAGGGGTTGGCTGGCAGACTTTTTCTGTAAAGAGCCAGAGTTTAGGCTTTCCGGGCCATGGAGTCTTTTGTAACTAGTTCACTCTGCCATCATGTTACATAAATGAATGGGCATGCCTGTGTTCCAGTAAAGCTTTATTTACAAACCCAAGCAGTCTGGCCATGGTTTCTTGACCCCTGACTTAAATGTACATATAATTATTGTAATTTTTTAAAAATCTGAGTTTTCCAGAAAAGCCATGTCTGGTGACCCCAGCCTCACATTGTCCCACAGAGAGAATTGGCTGAGCTGGGTGGCTGCTGCTATTGACAGAGCTTTTGTTCTCTAGATCTCCATAGCCCCAGCCTCCTCATTCATCTGTGGGCCTATGCAGGTTCCACCTGGGGTGGAAGAAAACACATTTGATGAAGCTAAAGTAATAAATTTGGATTGATGCAGCCAAAATCACAAACATTTGAGGTCAGATGTTAACATCTGGATGTTATCTGCTTGGCTGGACTCCTCCAGGCTCTTCTGCATTGTTTTTTGATTGTAAATAGAATTCTAAGCCCAATGTCTGATGTGAGGGTTCCCTACCCTTCTGCTGTGGCGCCCAGCAGGGACACTGGTAAGGGAAGAGCATGGCCCTCACTCCTGCCTCCCCCGACCCTGCAGGTGTTGGCGGGAAGAAGGGATCGGTGGAGAAGTGCCCGCTGTGCAAGGGGCGGGGGATGCAGATCCACATCCAGCAGATCGGGCCGGGCATGGTGCAGCAGATCCAGACCGTGTGTGTTGAGTGCAAGGGCCAGGGCGAGCGCATCAACCCCAAGGACCGCTGCGAGAGCTGCAGCGGTGCCAAGGTGATCCGTGAGAAGAAGATTATCGAGGTACATGTTGAAAAAGGTGAGGCTGCGCAGAGCTGGTGCTCCACACTGGCTGGAAATGCTGTCTGGGTGCTAATCGTGGGATACACAGGCTAGATGTCAGGGAAGTGAGCTGTATCACAACATGTATTGGGTGTGCCATGAATTCCTCTTGTGTCCCGGTCATCTTCTCTCCACCCTTCCTGGCCTTATTTCCATTCCATGTCACCTGCCAAAGTGTTCTTGCCGAGGTTTACTTCCTTGAGATCACAGACAGCCTCTTTATGAGATTTTCTAATGCTCTGAAAGTCTTACTTGGCCTTGGTTTTGGTTAGTTGCCATCTCCTGATATTCTCAAGCCATTCCTCTAGAATCTTTAGGATTGTCTTCCTGGTCGCTTCCAATGCTCATTGGCCGTAAGGGCTTAAGTGTTTGTGGCTGCATGTTCCCTTTCTCTCCACATTTCCCCATCTGGTGCATCAGATTCCCCCAAATACAGCACCTTCTCCTGCTATTCATTTTGCCTGATGCCATCATTTTAAGGCCTTTTCCCATTTTAGCTGTCCTCCAAGTATTCCCTGATGATTCTGTGGCTTTCCAATCCAGTGAATATATCCTAGATCAGATACGAGACCAAAAGTAAAAGAATTAACACCCAAACCGACACAGGTGTTATGAAAGGACTTACTGTTTAAACATGCCTGAACCCTGTGCCTTGAGTGTGCATAATGACTTATTAGAAAAGGACAGGGCTGGCTGACCCCCATCAGTCCTTAGTCATGCACCCTGTGCCCTGGGAAGTGGGTGGTGACCCCATGCTGGCAGTGTGGCATCACAGGCCCGGGGGAAGGGAGTGCTGTGGAAACCTGGGATGTAGAGCCGCATTCCCCCTCTCCCTGTGCATGCTGGGCTTGGCCCCACATTATGCCAAGGGAAGCGGGACCTCTTTTCTCATTGGCCATCCTAGCCACCCCTCCCTGCCTTGTGCCTGCATGAGATTGGGAGGCTTGATGAATAAAGAACCCCTGAAGGACTCTGTTCCTTCTTCAGAAGCTTTAAGGAAGCATGGTTTGTATGAGAAATGGCTAATCAGAAAGGGATGATGTTTCATAGGTATGAAAGATGGGCAAAAGATACTATTTCATGGAGAAGGAGATCAGGAGCCTGAGCTGGAGCCTGGTGATGTCATAATTGTGCTTGATCAGAAGGATCATAGTGTCTTTCAGAGACGAGGCCATGACTTGATCATGAAAATGAAAATTCAGCTTTCTGAAGCTCTTTGTGGCTTCAAGAAGACGATAAAAACACTGGACAATCGAATTCTTGTTATTACATCCAAATCAGGTAACGTTTCAAATGTGTGTTTCCATTGACGTTCTGTATGTTTGGCATAATTATAGCAAGTTAGCCTGATTTTTTTTATTGCTACATAATATTTTACATATTGATGGGGTGCATGTAATACTTTGTCCCATGCATAAAATGGGTAATGATCAAGCCAGGTGTTTAGGGCATCTGTCGCCTTGAGTATTTCTTATTTGTGTTGGGAATAGTTCACCTGATTTCACATTTAAAGTCAAATTCTGTTACACAAATTAGTATGACGTGATTTTCTCTAAATTTAAAGTTATCCCTAATGATTCTGGATAATTTATAAAGTCCTTTTATATTCCCCTAGAAAAAATATTCGGTTGGGGGGAAAAGTCTCAAATAAGAATCTTGGGGCTCTGAAAGTTTAGATGAAGTCTGCCAATTAAACTTAAATTTTTAAAAATTTATTTTTGTATAAGAAAACAGCTTAATAGGTGGTGTTTTTCTATCAAGTGGTGATTTGTGCTGATTCATCCACATGTTCCTGTAGCCTCTGTTGTTCATTACGTGAGTTACATTTTAAAGGAGAATTTTCCTGTAAGAAAGACTTTGCCTATCAGCTTATCCTTGGAGGTTTCCACAGGAATTGCTGGTCTGCACACACCCATGGGAGCCAGAGGGAGATGCCTCTGGGCTGAAAGGGTTCCTGAGGGCCTGAGCTCAGCCCCCAACCCCCTTGTAGACACTAGGGGACTCATCTCCCAGGAGGGTTTCTGTGTTCACTGCAGTGAGGGTCTGTGTGGGCACCAGAGCACCTGCCTAGAAGGGGCTGAGAAAGGAGAGAGGCCAGGCCAGAGACCTTGACTTGAAGCTGCTTCTGAATAGCACTAAGGTCAGCTGTGCATAGCAAAGAATGTCTGGATGGGTGTGGTGGTGGCTACGCCACCGAAGCAGCCTGGGCCCCAGCACCAGCCATTTGCAGTGTTGCTGTAGTCCCCTCACTGGCCGTGGGGCTGGGATTACCTTTTCCTATGGCCACTTGAGGTTTGGGGCAAAAGGGGTAGGTTCAGGGCAGGCACGGAGGTAACCAGCCAATAAGCCTGCCCCCAGGGCAGTGGCAGCTGGAGATAAGACTCAAGTCCAGTGGGGTGACTGAGGCCTGGGCTTCTGTTCCCTCCCTGTCCCTCTCCCCCTTCCCCTCCTTGCCTGCTTTCCTCTTCCCGTGCTCTTTTTCTGTTTCCTCTCTTGGATTCTTTCAGGTTCCTCCTTTCCTGGGGATAATAGGAAGCAGAATTATATATCCAAGGCTTGATCAGTTTTTGGGATTTTAAAACAAACTTATTTGGAAACAATTTCAAGCTTACAAAAAGTTGTAAATACAAAAATAGTCCGAGGTCCACCCATATATGATTTGTCTGATGTTAACATTTTACCCCATTTGGTTTGTCATTTGCTCTGTGTCTGTTTTTATTTATTTTTAAAATTTGTTCATTTATTTTTTGAGACAGGGGTCTCGCTCTGTCCTCAGGCTGAAGTGTAGTGGCATGATCTCAGCTCACTGTACCCTCCACCTCAGCCTCCGGAGTAGCTAGTGCTACAGCCACATGCCACCACGCCCATCTAATTTTTATATTTTTTGTAGAGATGGGGTTTTGCCATGTTGCCCAGACTTGTGTTTTTATACATAATCAAGGATTGGGGGAAGCACTGCAGTATAATGCAAAATTTGCATGAAAATTTAAAATAAAACACCTACCCTTAGGCTTTCATAGACCTCCCAAGGCACCCATTTCTTCCCTCAAGAAGGAGTTTGAAGATCACAGTTTACATGAAGCCCCAGACCACTGGTTGTGAGCTCAACACCCTGGCACTGTGTCCAAGACGCCCTTACATGGTCACAGCCCAGATCCTAGCCGTCCTGAGCCGGGGCTGGGCGGCATCTGTATGTAACTTCTTTGCGAAAGACCATCCTGTCCAGGGATGGACTGTTTGAGGCTTGGGCCCTGCCAAGGGTCAGAGCCCAGTGTTCCTTGCTGCCTTAGCTGACCCCAGCCTAGGGAACCGGGAGCCAAATGGAGTGAGAGTGGCGGAGAAAAAGCCCCAGAGGGAAGGAAGTGGCAAATCCTAAGAAACCTATTTCCTTCTTTATTATAAGGAAGGGTGGAGCATCCAGGAAACCTGCTGTTGGAGAGTTCTTTGGGGATTTGTTTTCCTTTTTGTTTTGTTTTTGCTTTTACTTTGTTCTCGTTTGCACCCTCTCCTTTTTTCTTCACCCCTCTTTTGTGTTGGCTTATTTCTTGTTTCTCCATCTTCTCTCCTCCCTCTTCCGCTGTTGAAATGCCTTCTTCCCTAGAGCCCTTTAGCCTGTTATGAGCATTGCTGAGGATTGGATTAATTAAAAAAGTGATTTTGGAGCCACACAAGGGTGTGATGGCCCTGCCTGCAGGCAGGTATTTACCTGCCAGGAGAGCCGAAATTGTGGTGGTGTTCTACCTGTAGTTTTCCATGCTTGGTCAGTTTCCCACCTCCCGGTAAGCTAGAAGCAGAAGCATGGGGGAGTAGAGCTTGAGAGCAGCAAGAAGTGACACCTGATAGGAATGGGGAGACAGAAAAACCAGTCATGTGTCACTTAATGATGGGGCTACGTTCTGAGAAATGCATTGTTTGGCGATGTTGTCGTGGTGTGAACATCATAGAATACACTTGCACAGACCTAGATGGCGTAGGCTGCTACACCCTAGGCTGTGTGGCATAGCCTGTTGCTCCTGGGCCGAAACCTGCATAGCAGGTTGCTGTACTGAATACTATTGGCAGTTGTAATATGATGCTGAGTATGTGGGTATCTGAACGTAGGAAAGGTGCAGTAAAAGTTTGGTGTAATCTTTGCAACCATCTTCATGAATGTTGTTGACTGAAAGGTCACTATGCTGTGCATGACTGTATTTCTTTTTTCTTTTTTCTTTTTTGAGACGGAGTCTTGTTCTGTTGTCTAGGCTGGAGTGCAGTGGCGCAATCTTGGCTCACTGTAAGCTCTGCCTCCCGGGTTCACGCCATTCTGCCTCAGCGTCCCGAGTAGCTGGGATTATAGGCACACCCCATCATGCCCAGCGAATTTTTCTATTTTTTTTTTAGTAGAGATGGGGGTTTCACTATGTTGGTCAGGCTGGTCTCGAACTCCTGACCTCGTGATCTGCCCGCCTCGGCCTCCCAAAGTGCTGGAATTACAGGCGTGAGCCACTGCGCCTGGCCATGACTGTATTTCAGAAAAAGAATAAACAGGAACACAAAAAGCCAGCAGTCCGGAGCAGTTTAGCTAAGGGGTTGCTGTCCTGCACAGTCAGTAGGCTCTGAAGGCCATGTCTGAGCCACAGCCCTGCCCGTGAATGAACCTCAAGGATAGTCATTGGCTTACTTTATTTTTAAAACCTCCTCTTTAAAGATTTCCTCTTGAAGAGAGAGCTCACTTTCTAGATAGTTCCATATGGAAGTGGACTGCTGAATAAATTAGTGTTTCGATTCCCCTCCACCGTCTCCCCCATTTTTTCCAAACATTTCTTTCTGTCTTTGTCCATATTCATTGCTGAGCTGAAGAGTATACTTTATCAGAAACCCTTTTGTCCCTTTCCTTTTCCATGCTTAGAGGGAAGTTTCTGACTTGGGAGAATGCCTCAGAGTTCTTGGGGTCTGAACTCCCCTGATGCCTTGCAAAGTCACGTAGCTATAAGACCCAGCCGGTGCCAGCCGGGAGGGTGACTCCAGCTCAGCAGCGTGTATGGAAGTGCATTGTGACCATGAAGGAGATTGCCTGTGGCCAAGCCACCTAGTGAGCTCCCTACCAAGGAACCTGGGTGTCACCTACAGGTGGTTGAGAGCCAGTTTTTATGCCAGGCAGGGGACTGGTTGGACTCTTGAGGCTTCTTCCTGTCTGTGAGGAGCATTCCTGTTCCCCTTGTGGTAGGAATACCTGTCACCCCACGAAGGGGCAGAGTGATGGTTGTTGGCCCCATTTTATGCAGACTTGGGTGTCATGACTTTGGTTCACTTGTTTCAAGCCTACCTGTGATGGTGGCTGCAGCATGCTGCCCCCTTGACACACTGCTGGAGCTCAGAGCACGGGCCGGGGGAGCACGGGCCAGAGTCCCAGCCCGAGCCCCACCCCCAGGCAGTACCTGACAAGGATACCTGGGATTGGGACCAGCTTTCCAGTCAGATGCCACGCTGCTTTTGCCCAGTGCCACGGGGTGCTAGGACCTGCCTCAGGCTCTCCCGTGAGGGAGAACGACCTCTGCAGGCCCCTCTGCCTTTCTGCTTCATAACTGACCCTTTCTCTGGCAGGTGAGGTGATAAAGCATGGGGACCTGAAATGTGTGCGTGATGAAGGAATGCCCATCTACAAAGCACCCCTGGAAAAAGGGATTCTAATCATACAATTTTTAGTAAGTTCACTGTGTTTCATTGTCGTGGACATATTATTAAATGCCTTAATTGGAAGGGGAAAAAACAGCCACCTTTCTTTCCCACCTCACCCTTTACAGGTAATCTTCCCTGAAAAACACTGGCTTTCTCTGGAAAAGCTTCCTCAGCTGGAAGCTTTACTGCCTCCTCGACAGAAAGTGAGGATTACAGATGACATGGATCAGGTGGAGCTGAAGGAGTTTTCTCCCAATGAGCAGAACTGGCGTCAGCACAGGGAGGCCTATGAGGAGGACGAAGACGGGCCCCGGGCTGGAGTGCAGTGCCAGACAGCATGACGTGGTGCGGGGCAGCGTGGCCCCGCCGGACTAGCACATGATGAATGTAAAGTTGGCACAATGAAAATGGATCGCTTTAATGGCCTCATGTTTGGGATGTCCTGTGTACGTGTTCAGCATTCTTAATTGCTGAGTGTCTTTTTGGTTTTTATTTTGGTTGTAACTTAAGTTATAACTTAATTTATATTTAAATGTTTTAAGTGTAAATCACCTCTAGTCTGTACATGGAATCTGTTCATTTCTATTTTCAGGATATACTTTTTGAGATGTCAGTGATTGCACCAACACTTTGTGCTTCTAGTGGCTTTGCCATAATTCAGTGTCACCAATAAAGCACAGCCCAGTTAGCAGCTCAGCCCCCTAGCGAACCCCAAGGCACAAAGTGGGCATCCTGGCCCATCTCTAGGTCTGTGGTTTCTCCCCCCTCCCTTGGCAGAGTTATTGAGGGCATGATCTCAGGGCTGCTAAGGTAACATTTCTGAGGATTCTAGATGATCCTCTTAAAGAACAAAAGCACATCCATGGATCGGACATGGCTGCCTGTGCCTGCTTAACAGGGCCAACTTAGTTCCTACTGTTCTGTGCCCTTCAGTGGATGGAATGTGAGTGTGTCTGATCATCTCTCTTGGAAGTTTTCTGAACCTTCCAAGCTCTGTGGTGAGGACAAACCAGTGTTTTGAATCATATGCTGATAACTGTTTGCCGTGACCCTCACACCTTGTTCTTCATGGTTTTAATGATTTTCTGTTGACAACTTTTGCAGTGCTTTCCCACCAAAGTGCTTACCTGTAAAGAAAACTAAATCGTTCTGTGTCCCCGGCAGCCTCAGTGCAGCAACGGAAGCTGAGGGAGAATGCTGCTGGTTTGGCCCATGGCACAGCCAGCTTCTCTGACCAGTAATCTGGGGTGACTTGAGGGTCTGCAAAGGCATAGAACTCCCCAGTGTTTTCCACCTCATTCTCCCAGATTCAGCTCCCTTCCAAAGGATTGTTCCTCTCATTGCACAGCCGTATTACAAAGGGCTTCCTGCTCAAGTGATGTTTTGGTAAGAACTGCTCTGAGTTCCACTGTGGATTACAGTTTGTATGGACTACTACTGTAAATTATAGCTTGTTTGGAGGGGTATCAGTCATTATTTTATTCCTGACAGGTAGACTACAATTCGAACTTAGGGTTCCCTCAGTCTTTAGCCATTACTGCTTATTTCTTGCCTCCAAGTCACAAAAAACTTGTAAGCTGTTGGGTTAAAGCAGAGGCCGCCTGTCAGATCTACCCTACCCTTATTTGGTTACATGGCACCTGAGAGTTTCACTCAGACCAGGGATCTTCCTTAGGAGGGTCAAAAAGCAGATCAGACCATGCAGAAGTAGGGCGAACCAGCTGCACGGACCAGGTTCCCGCAGAACATTGCTAGCTAGTGAGGCAAAATTTGCTCAAAGTATAGAAGCAGCCCACCTATGCCCACTTTGACCATGGGTCAGGACAGATATAAAATCACTTCTTCCAACGAAGCCTAAGTGAAAAATCTATTTGTAAATGGACCACAACTCCGGGGTGTTGTTTCTGTGCTGTGACTTCCTAACTATTGCTAAAGAACTACTGTTTCGTTGGTGATGGAGTAAAATTACATTCAGCTCCTTCTTGTCATATAAGAGGAATTTGGAGGGTGTTGCTTAAAATTTTATTCCACCTGTACATTTGTCACTTTAAATTAAAATTGAGCTGGTATGAGAGACAAGTGGCTTTGCTTTTTCATTTTTTCGAGAGCTCAAACAGTGTTAAGTGCCAGCTTGCCTCTCATTGGTTGATATAATGGAATGAAGTTTCCACCCTCATGGAGCTTTATTTTGGGGATGGGGGTGAATGCAAACAAAAAGTGGTAACTGCTATGAAGAACAAGAGGAATGGGAGTAAGTAGAAGGGAAAGGGAAGAAGGCCTCTACCAGGAGCTGGCATCTAGGCAGAATCCTGGATGCAGTTGGGGAGCAGACGTCCGAAGGTCTGGAGGGAAAACATTCCAAGCAGAAGAATGGCAATGATGATGTGGTTACAGGAGGGTGAGCAAGGCAAGCAGGAGGAAGAAGCAGGGGGCTATGATAAAAAGGGTGAGCTTTATTCTGAGGGCAGTGAGTTGTCTGGGGAAAAGCACATGACCTGACTCATAAGCATATTAAGTTATCAATAAAAAGCAACACTCTTCCAAGTGTTTAGCTACTTACATCTTTCTCACTAACGTGAGTCTCAAGGGGGCTGATGAGGAGGAAACTCTGAGGTACAGATACTCTGAAATAACTAAGGCAGAGCTACTGTTCTACGGAATGAGCCACAGGCTTGAGCCTAGGCATTATTAAGGCAGCAAGAATAGCAGCCTGCCTTCCAATACCCACCTAGTGAGTTAGAGACCTCTCTGAAATTAATAAGGGGAAGGAGGGCTTGGCAGGGGACATCTTTAATACATCAAGTAGAAGGATGCCCAGATAGACGGGAGTACATAATGTTCCTATGCAGTCAAATATACTCTTTCCTTCAGGACTCCATTCTATAATAGATTAGCTTCTTTATCACAGCTCTGGGGAGCTCGCTGCTGTATCTCACTGCATGAGTCAATTCCCTGGAAGAGCCTGTATTTCTAAGCCGGAAAGTTAAAGAAGTGCCTGGATCTCTTGATGGCTAAGGCAGAGATTTGCTCTTAATGCCAATCCCTCTTACTGTTTCACTGGTAATAGGGTAACTGGAAAAAGAAGCATGTTCAAGGACACTGGTGTTTGCATTAAGAAAGCTTTATGTTAAAGTATGAACAGCATTCCCAATAAAACATGAAAAGATTTATATTGTATCTACAAAATTTAAGTCTTTGCTACAATAAATGCTATATTTCTTTTAAACAAGCCTAAAAAGGTAAGGAATGTCATGATCAATCCGTACATTCTCTTTGCAGCATAAGCCTGGAGACTTTGATGTTTAAATTGGACAATCATAGATGTGAATTTCCTGGTCATCTCCAACAGACACAATTTTTGAACCATTTCCATTGTATTTTACTCCCCAGACCTGTAAATTAAAAAAAAAAGAAAAAAAAAAAAGTTCTACAAATGCCTTTATTCTTTATAATATTTATGAAATGAACATCCTTATTTTCTCGTTATTCTGAATCTACAAAAACTGAGATGAGGATATTCTTATACTTTCTAAATCAGTGAGAATGGAGGCTTTAACCAAGCACCTTCCAGTATTGCTATTTAATTAGCATTCCTGTCCCTTCCCATACTCCAAAAAAACAAAAAAAAAAAAATCATTTTTAAATACAGTACTAATCAAGATTATCTATAACCCTTTCAAAGAGTCAGAATCCCGAGGTAACCTAGTGCCAGGAAGATGGAAGTCATAAGAGACCAACATTTATGCTTCCAGGAAGAAAGAGGCCCCACAACTACCCCGAGATCACTGCCTATAGGGGAAATCACAAACTGTGCTCCTCAGCTGGCCCCTTGTGTCCACCCCCCACGGTCAATAATTCTCACTCTGTTATGAGTGGCCTATGGAGCCTGCTTGTTCCCAGGAGCTAGACAACATATTACTGTGGACCATAGATTTTTATTTGCTATGTGTTGAATTAACTGATTCACACCTCTTTCCCAGACAGAATTGATGTGGTTGGAGTTTCTCTAGTCAGGAATAACTTCCTGATTATTAGGAGGTGATTTTGGGTGGTAAGCCTGTCACCCTACTCTGATTTTAGTGTTGGGATTGGGCTGCATGATGGCCTTTCACTCCAGCCTCTGAAACAGCACTGCAATGATCCATGCATACAAGGCAACACAGCTAGCCAGGACTTACTCCTTGAGGAAGATGTTTAAATCCAGGAGTGGAATATCAAGATTCAACCCCCTCAATTTTGTTGGAAACAATTTAAGGTGAAAAGTAAAAAGCATGAACAATGTTAGTTAACTTTAAGTTTCATTTCAAAGAGGAGAAATCTATAGGACCATCTAAAAATATTTAAAATGTATTAAAAGCCAATTTTATACTGCCATGGACGTTTTATTTTTTTATGCTTAGTTCCCTAAGACCTTACAGTGTGGTTAGGACCAGCAGCCTTGGCCTCACCTGGGAGCCTGTTAGAAATGCAGAATCCTAGGCCCTGTGCCAGACCTAGTGAAGCAGCATCTGCATTTTAACTAGGTTCCCAGGGGATACAAGCACACATGAAAGACTGAGCAGTATTGCACTAGAACACCTTATTTCACATAGTCACCTTGGCAAAGACAAAGAGGCTTGTGAGAACAGTTTCCTTTTAAAGACTGAAACAAAAGTTATCAATACCACTAAAGCCAAAAAACTTGTAAGAATTTCCAGCTTCTATATTTAAAAAAAAAAAAAAAAAAAAAAAAATCACATCTCTTCTTTGGACAGTTCCAAAAATGACAAGTGATAAGCAATGGAATCTCCTGAAGACGAAGGTCGTTGGTGAACCTGCCATGGCCCAGCAGCCCCCAGGAGAGGGCCCCAGACACCAGCTGCAGCAATTTCCAAAGATGGCATTTAAAGGCTGTGGGGCTAACACAATGTCTTCCGGCCTGTGTGGGGATATGCCTCGTGAGTTGCTAGGCTGACAGCACATCCCAGCCTCTGCACCCCAGACTGTGCACAGGAACTCTGGCTACATGGATGACTGAGCAGACACAGCAGCTCAGGCCCAGGCATCTACTGGTATCTACAGCTCAAGCAACAAGGTTAGGAAAAGAAAACCTCTTTGGTACAATGGTCAAACAACCCCAGCTATCTAAAGAGGAAATAGTAATGCCATACCTGATCCTGGTGATCAAAGAAAGTGTGAACACACGTCCTGGTTCCAACATCCCAAACTTTTACACTTTTGTCAGACGAACTATTTTAAAAAGTGAACATTAGTATCGGTTTGAAGTTGGAAGGACTTCGACCAAAAATCCTTTGATGACTTACATTCTTCTAACTTCAGACCCCCCAGCCCCCACGCCTCAGTACAGGAAATGGACAGGTATTGCATCATCACTGGGTGGCTTTCCCTCCTCACAGGGTAGCCGTTTTCCTGAAATTCTGATCTGCCTGGCCCTCATTTTAATTGTTCTCCAGGAGTCTCAGACACAGCTACCTATTTCCAGATGGGAGGGAGGCCTGTTAAAACTTCAAAACCAAGGCTCGCAGGAGGCCTCTAAAGCACTGTGCAATGCCTTCAAGTTGTCCATCTCCTGCTTTCCAACTGTCTTGGCCATCCCAGGGCTGACCAACACTGAGATCTATAAACAACATTTTACAAACATTTACATATTTTAAGTTACCATTGGAACACAAGTCTACCTTAGAGTCACTTTGGTAGAAGCCTCAATTTATAATGAAAAAACTAAGAGTTTAACTGTTTAAAAGGATTCCTTGTTGACTTTTGTTCCAGCTAAGGTCAACTAACTTCACTAAGTAAAAATTTTAAGAACTGCAGAAAACAAAGGCTAACTGAATAAAAAAGAGTCAAACATCTTTAAATGTTAAGGCAATCTATACAGGAAGACTGCCCTCATCTCCCCAGCATTTTAGAAACTGCTAAGAATCATTAAGTACCTGGAAACAAAGTGAGTGTCATCAGGACAGAACGCAACGTTCAGCACCCAGGAGGCATGGCCGCTCAGCGTGCCAGCCAAATTGGCATGTTGTCTGAAATGGGAAAGGTTCAAACAAAATTGAGATGTTTATTTCTAGAGTATAATCAAACGAAGTAGAAAGTTTATTATTAACTCTGCCCATAAACTGGACCAAATCTGCTATCCTTATAATGACCATGAATACTATATCACAAATTCCCCTTTCAATGAAGTAGCATCATGCATTAGAGACAAATTTTAATAGCAGCATTAACCCATAATGTGTTGATGCTACTAAGAGCCAAGAATAAAATCTTTAACAAGCAAAGAGCTGAAGCTCAAAATGAACAAAGAACTACACTATAGAGGCTTCGCAAGCCAACCCCTAAGATGAGGAAATTGAGAACCAACGGGGCAAGGAAGCCGTCTCAGGAGAAGGGCAGGTTCAGACTCCTGCCTGCACCGGCAGCCTTTCCATATGGAGCCAGTGCTCCCAGTCCAAGGAGAGCGTCAAGATGTATTCATTATGACAGATGCAGCTTGGAGAGACTATTTTAAACCTAATCAAGAACAAGACAGGTCTAATTACAACAGCTATTTTCACTTTTTTAATAAAAATGAAACCCAATCACCTCTGGCAAGAGAACCACCATAAGGCCTAACTGAGGTCAGCAATTTTACCCCTGAACACAGAACCCAGCAGAGTGGAGCAGACCTCAGTTAGGGGCCAGGAGGCAGTCTCAGTGGGATACAGTGGGACCATGGGAGGATAAGAAGTCCTGGGCCTTAGTAAAAAGATCAGTAGTTGCTAGGGGCTCAAGGTGGGAGGAAGGGATGATCTGGTAGAGCATGGGATTTTCAGGGCAGTGAAACTATTCTGCGTGATACTGTAGTTAGTGGTGACTACACATCATTATATATTTGTTAAAACTCATGGAATGTACAACACAAAGAGTAAACCCTAATGTAAAATATGGACTTTAATTAATAATAATGCATCAATATTGGGTGAAAAAAACCAGTCTTGGGTCTTCATTCAGTACCACCTCCTTGGGCAAATCACCACCTCAGCTTGGGTTTCTCATGTGCAAAATGGGGACACTCATCTGTGCTGCTACCTCATTGGTTGCCGGGAGGATCAATAAAACAGTGGCAATGGAAATCATAAAGTCACAAATGTAAGGAACTGCTGCATTTATACTGCCTCTGCCACTATCAGGCAAGTACAACTCTACAGAGATATCTTTCCCTCTCGGCTGTAGCACCCTCATTCAGTTCTAATTCCAAAAACTGCAGTTAGAATTCTATGTCTAGCTGATAATCTTTTGCCATAAAAAACTGCATTTTAACCAGAAGTGGCTAGAAGGAGCAGTGTTCCTACTGTGAGGTTTAAACTCGCAAGCAACTATCACAGGCCCCTGAAAGAACACACACGGATGGTCAGGGTTGCAGTACGTGCAGGTGGAGGAGGTCTTGGCACCATGGCTAGGGTCGGAGTGTGATATGTACCTGCAGTGGATTAGAATGCCACGTTCAGGAGCAATGAGCCAGAGGCACGCCTGGCAGGGAGAGCTGACCACAGCACTGAGTCACAGTATCAAGAACACAGATCCAACACATTACAGGGGATACCTCAGTAGGGAATAGGAGTTAGGGCTAAAGATGATGGGGGAAAACAAGAAGACAAGGGGGTCTGCACAGGTTTACAATGATGGCTGTGAATGAAAGAGGATGATTAACTTGCTTCTATACTCATAGTCAAAGGCCAAAACCAAAAACACTCCCATCTAGACCTGTAGCAGGCTTATAAACTGACTGCTCCCTAACTAGGGCAGAGGCATGTCTGCTAGAACAGCCCTACCCTTGAAAATAGATGCTCTAATTTTTTCCTGTCCCCAGGGGCCAGCTACAGCCCATGGCTCCATTTCCTCATCTGTATATTACTTACCTATCCCAAAGAATTTGAAATCAGTAAGCTCACAAACATCAGGCTGCCTAAGAAAAAGTAGCAAGTATCTGATCCTACCAGGGAACCCATGCACATCCTCCTCCAAGCAGCCCTTGAGGACACACACTAAAAATGGGCGCTGAATGGGGGAGGACCACCTGGGGAGTCAAGGTGTTTGATGTGACTTGAGCACAGGTCTTTACTAGGGCTGCTCCCTAGGGCTCCTTGTAACAATAAGGGGACAAGACGGACATCAGTAGTAAGGGAGACACCTTGAATCTCGACAGGTAACTTACACATCATAGATCTTGATGTAGCCATCATCTGAAGCAGTGACAAGGAGCTGGGAGTCCGGGGAAAAGGTCAAGGAGCGAATGGGCATGGCATGGCCTGAAATTCATAAAAGCCCTTGTTAATCTGGTGAACCACTGCCTCCTCACTCAGCTTCCCACTGACAATGTCCCTTTTAATGATTAGAAGCCACTGAGTTGAAATACCCAGGTGCTTCAGGCAGAAAAGCAAGAGTTCTGACTGGGCCTTTCATCTTAATGTTCTCGAAACATCCACATAACCCCAGTCTCTCCTCCTGGAGCCATTTCTCTTTAGTTCCCTTCCCTGCCCTCAGCATGCATTGCTTTAAAGAACTTCTCTACTACAAATATGGCCACACAAGGAAATATACATTGCTCCTGATTTGTAAGGTTGAACAAATTAAGATGTTATTTCCCTATCAAATCCTTTATTACAGTGTAAAGGATAAACTATAGCAATGTGAGGAGGTAATAAAGTCACTTGATTAGAATTCAAAACCGCACGAAAGTATGTGTAATAAGGTCTCCCTCCAATCTACCCCTGTTCTTTAGCTACCCAGTCCTCCTTTCCAGAGGCCACCAGTGTGGACAGTGGGCACAATACTTTCATCCACCTTCAAATTATCAACAAAAAGTTGTTTTCAATCACAAAGTTCGTCAGAATCCAAAATGACAGAAATGAGACATTCATATAGCAAATAAATATTAACACACACATATATATATAATGTGATAGATTATGATATAATCAATAAAAAGTAAGTCTGTTCACCCAAACAAGCATTTAACACTGTTACAAGAATTAGTATGTCTAGGTTAAAACTACAGTGACAGGCCAGGTATGGTGGCTCATGTCTGTAATCCCAGCATTTTGGGAGGCCAAAGCGGGATGATCTTTTGAAGCCAGGAGTTGGAGACCAGTCTGGGAAACATAACAAGACCCCATCTCCTCAAAAAATTTAAAAACTAGCCAGACAGCATGGTGTGCACCTGTAGTCCCAGCTACCCAGGAGGCTGAGGTGGGATGACCCCTTGAGCCCAGGAGTTCAAGGCTACAGTGAGCTATGATCACACCAATGTACTCTGGTCTGGGAGCAAGACCCTGTCTCTAAAAGGAAAAACAAAAAAACAAACCTATAGTGACAAGAGTAAAACCTGGAGGCATTTCAGTTTTCCAACTGAGATTGATATTTTGTAAATCTAATGCCCGTTTGCCATTTAATGGCATTTTAATGAAAGAATAATTCTTCTTTTGTGATTTGATAACCAAGTTTATAAAAATAAGATGATGATATATACCTTCCAGCGTATGCAGAAGTTTTCCAGTTGCAATATCAAAAATATTGATGATTCCATCTATGGCTCCACTGGCTAGGTATTTCCCATCAGGACTCTGTTCAGAGAACATATGGAAAAAATTAGCACTTTCAGACCCCATGTTGTTAAGCTATCCCTACCAAACTCAAGCAAACCTCCTGCTGTCTACAGGTCTAACCAGCAACCTGGCAAACCACACCAGTGAGATAGCAGCTGCCTGACCAGACCAAGGCAGAATCTGTGCCAAGGACTGCAACAGGCTGGAAGGGCAAACTGAAAGAATCAGAAGGAGAAAAGAGAGCAATGTTTCCTTACATATGCAATACTAAGAATGAATTTTCCTCTTGTGTCCAAAGAATACTCCTTTTTCCCACTTTCCACACCAAAAATGTTCACTTTCCCGACATGAGTTCCTGTGGCCAGATACTGGGAATCAGGAGAAAAGGCCAAAGTCCAGGCATCCACTGAACAGAAAAAAGAAGGACAAAAATACAGTGTGAAAAGATTTGGCCTTAATTTTAAAAACTAAAGTTTTACCAAAAGACACATCTTTTTAAATTGGAGTAGCAGTGTCCTGATTCAGAAAATTATGTTGTAAAGATGCTAATTCTTTATCAAGTTTAGATTTAGTTTAAGGGTTTCTTAATTTTTTAATAAGAATAGGACAACATTAAGTGTTAGCAAGGATGTGGAGAAACCAGAACCTTCATACACTGGTGGGAATGTAAAATGGCACAGCCACTTTGAAAACCAGTTTGACAGTTTAAGTGAAAACAAACACCATAATATCCAGTAATTCTACTCCTAATGAAAACATATGTCCACATAAAGACTGGTACACTCATGGTCTTCGCTTCCTCCTACTTTCTCACTTCTCCATGACTGGGGATTGTCTCTCTTCTTTTTTTCTCTTCCTTTGTGGTGGTTCAGATTCTCCATGCATATTTTCAAGATAGGTAGAAACTAAGTGTTCATTTTCCCTACATTCATCAGATCCAAACTCATCTGAGGAGTTTTACCTTCAGATGAATTTAGCTGCTCTTCAGCTGTCAATAGCAATGCTTGCTTTTGTTACTGGACCAAATAACTGTTGGCTGTTTAATGGCCTTGTCTAGTTTTATGCAGAGTCCTATCCAAAAAGAAAATAAACCCAACTTTCAGACTCCATTCTTCTATCTTTTTTTTTTTTTTTTGAGATTGAGTCTCGCTCTGTCACCCAGGCCAGAATGCGGTGGTATAATCTTGAGTTCAAGCTATTCTCCTGCCTCAGTTTCCCGAGTAGCTGGGACTACAGGTGCACACGACCACGTCCAGATGTCCAGCTAATTTTTTGTATGTTTTAGTAGAAATGGGGTTTCACCATGTTGGCCAGGCTGATCTTGAATTCCTGATCTCAAGTGATCCACCCGCCTCAGCCCCTCAAAGTGCTGGGATTACAGGCATGAGCCACCACCACCACGCCTGGCCTCTTCTGTCTTTTTCATTCATAACAGTGACTTTTAAAACCTTGCCACACTTGGACAACACCCAGTAAAAGGTACTGTTTATCAGGGAAAGTGAGCTGGATACATACGCCATCCTTTTACTTGGAACCAATCCAGCAATGATTTCTTCAGCTGCCTCGTGCCCAGGGCTGCAACCAGCATGCAATGACACCAGCATTATGACCCCTAGGAAAGCTTAGGTGCCCAAGATGAAAAGGTAGAAACAGTTCTGCCTCTTCCTCTTTTCTTAAGACCATACTTATATATTAGAGTTTTAATGGACTTTGCAGGATAGTTTGGGGACCCAAGTCCTCTGTAAGTAACATAAGCAGAGTAAGGGCACATGTAAAGACAACCATCTGGGGAGTCAGGGTGCGTCTGGGTAGCTTTTTCCAAATATATATCCCACCGCACGTACTCCGAACACTATGATTCAGTGGATCCAAAATATGGACTGGGTATGCATATTCTTAAAAGAGCTCCAGTGGTAAGAATTACAGACAAGAAATATTGCTTCTGAGGGAAAATGCACTCAGTTTCCAGACAACCCAGCCTCTTTAAAAACTCTGGAACCATCATTATTTCCAATACAGGAAAAGCCTAGAGTGGCTACTGAGCATAACTCGTGGGAGGTGAATCCATCCAGGGCATCAATCAGGGAACTGTGTTCATGGAACACCTAAGCAGCTCTTCTATCATCAACCCACAAAGGGGTGTGCCACAGAATGCCAGGCTATTCGCACCCTCTAGTGGTTACCACCTGTTCTGGCACACCAAGTTCTGCTGGGGAAAGTTGTGCAGCCATTTATAAGTAAATGTGAAGCTCAAAAGAATCCTGAAATGTCCTCTGTGCTCCACATTAGTCAGCCTATGACATCATTGACTTCCGTCATCTCAGATGATGTTTACCAAGGCTGATGGACAAGATTATGGACAGTACTTAAAACAAAAAAATCGATGTTTCTTAAAAGTTTCATATGTATCACATACCAGGAATCACACCCTTTAATCAAAATGAGTAGAGATGACCATGATACACATCTATAAGGACCCCATGCTTTACATTCTAGGCTTCCATAAGGCAGTGAATGAATCAGCTCAGAATATGGTAAATAGAGAACCTCTGGAAAACACAAAATACAGGTCAACAACCCCAAACCAGCAGTTCTGAAATCCAAAAAGCTCTGGAAACTACTAGCTTTTTCCACAGGTTTACTACCAAAATTCATTTGGCAGCAAAATCTAAGCTGAATTGACACAGGGCTATTTATAGCCTTTATTTATCTCACTTAGTGTAAATACTCACGTTTAGTTGCAGACTGTTTCATTAGAGTGCTGTTTCCAGCCCCACTGAAGGTATTATGTGAAATACAGTTCATGCACCCATTATCATCCCTCTCAAAACCAAAAAATTCTGAGCTATAAAACACATCTATCCCTAAAGATTTTGGAAAAGAAATCATGAGCCTCCATTATCTCCCCTACAAGTAAAACTCTTACCAGGTCCTGCATCTATGGACTTTATCTGTTTGCCATTTTCCAAGTCCCAAAGACGAATATGAGCATCAAGAGAGCTGGATGCAGCAATGGGCAGGGTGTGGCTGATGTCCACAGACACCACTCCCAGCTGATGTCCCTCCAGACTCCACTGTAGGTCCAGCCTCTCATCACGCCTTCAACAGGGGACAGAGAAATGGATTTCTTCACACAGAACACACTTTACCTGGCATCTGAAATTCTGGGTCCCTGTGACTATGCAATACCAATGGTCTATGAAATACAGAATCAGAGAAGAGTTAATGAGCTACAGAACACCAAATGCTGCCAGGTTTTCAATGTAGGACTTTAAGATTTTTTTTTAAACTTTAGGGCTTTAATACAGAGTAACAGGAAAACAAGTGGGAAAAAGAAGCTGCTGTTTTATACCACCAGATTGCTATAGATTTCTTGCCTAGAAAAAAGTATTTCCCAGACTGCAACTGGCGAGTTCAGAAGCAAAACCTCAGCCCCCAATTTTCCAAGGCTGTATGTTAGGGGAGAGGTACTCACCATTTCCAGACCTTCACCAGGTCATCCAGGGAGCCTGTGACCACTGTCTCAGAGTTTTCCTTCTTGTTTGTCCCCCAAGCAACTGACCAAATGGCATCATCATGGGCTAGAATGGAAAGTAAAGTCTTCTTGCATATGACTTAATGAAGCTGAAATACTGTTCAACAATTGTAAGGTAACGTTTATTTGTATTTGCTTTACTATTTTACAAAGTGCTTTCCTATACAGCTTTTATTGAAATTTTGGGGCCACATATGAAAATTGGAGGTTCTGAAGAAGCTACTTGCCCTAAATCTCATGCTTACCAGATGGGATGGTAGTACTTTGGACTCTAAATCCAGTGCCCTTTCTTTTAGCATGCTATCTGGTATATAGGAGTCTACAATGGCTATCACTTGGCTAAAACAAGTAAAACCAGTGGGAAAGACCCCCTCCTACCAAGAAAAGACCTAAACCCAGTAACAGATACTCCGTAAAGATCTTTGGAAACGAGTAGGCAGTTCAATTCTAAACAGTATAGATCTAAAAGAAAATACCTAATATAGCCTCCATATATTAAGTTGCCTTTCCCCACAAGTATCTTTATTATGGTTAATGGGCCAATTATTACAACAATCCTAAGAAGTGGGTACTATTAATATCCTCATTTTATAGACAAGGAATGAGAGGTGCTAGCATTCAAATCCAATCTCTATTAATTAAAGTCTACCTTAAATCTAAGTCTGTAAGCTGCAGGTTTGGTAGGCCACACCGTTGTATGTGCAGACCTGGTGTGGATGTAAAAATGTGCAAAGTGCACATGGAGGCTTTACCCCTGCCTGGCAACAATTCTCCAGTGATACCTTCCCAAAATATGAATATAAAGGCATTAAACTTAAACAGCTGTGCATTACAGACAGAGTTGTGGCTTCTATTTCAAACCCCACCTAACTCAAGCCTGCTAACTTGCCACCTGGATGACAATAGCTACATATAAGGTAGTTGACTGGCATGCCCAATTAGCCTACTAGTTACTTACACTAGCTAACCTGGGTGATGCTGTTGGCTTAAATGTCAAACTACCTACATGTCACTACTTAGAGAGGAAGAGCTTTGATTAGGCATTCCACAAATTCCTTAGGCCTTCCTAAACTCATCGAGGCTATAGTGAAGAAATGAGATGGGTGAGTAGCCCATGCACAGACATGACTCCTTTTTGGGTACAAAGCTCTGGACCACTGGTTAGCTACAATCCCAGCCCACTCTGACCTGCGGCCTGCTCTCCCATCCCTGCCACTGCCACTGCTGCACAGCTCCCAGCCCTCCCCATGCACTCAGTGGCCTCAAAAGAAATTCATCTCACTATTATAGGCATCACTTTCATTAAGGGCCAAAGCAAGTTCTGAGTTCAGAAAAAGGCTCACGTTCACCTCCCTGGATGAGCCGGCATTAACAGAGTTTTGAGGCTCAAAGCATTTTCTTCTTCCACCTCGCCAGCTGGGAAGCTCGGTCATGTCTTCCTCAGGTGGGAAAATTTTCCTCAGCCTGGAAGCCTCCAACCTATCATGATGGCTGCTTTTTTTTTTTAGTTGGTTGTTCAGGTTTTTGTTGTTGTTGTTTGTTTTTTAAGAGTATTTGTTTTCAGCTGCCAATTCTTCCGCAAAGTGAGTATACTTGAAAACTGCATGTCTGGTCAGCATGACAAAAGTCTTAAAGAAACCAGGGTCAACAGTTTTTTTCACAGATGAATTGCTTAAACAGGCAGGCTACTTACCTTGCTCTTGTTTGAAGAGAATACCATACTAAAAAAAGAACAGAAGCCACATTAAACCCATGGTCAGATTTCAGATGTCTCATATTGCCTTCAGAAAGCACTCCTCCCCAAGTAGATAGAGTCACTACAGTGTTAGTTACTTCCTCTGCTGTCAACCTGGCCGTCCTACAAGCTCCTTGATCCCCACTTATGCAAGATTTGTACAGTCCTATCAGAAAAAAAGCATTAAAAAAACTGACACTCTCTCCCTCTTCCTACTACCCACACTCACCCAACAAGAGACCAATAAATTATGTTTTCTTTTTCTGTTCTGCTCACCAAGGAAGCTCAGAGTCCAGTTTGCAGCTTAAATTTTGCAGCTGCATAAGGGCACACGGCATGCATAACAGTCTATTAACTTTGTCCCTAATCTTATTACAAAGATCTGTTTCTCCTGTTCTATCTTCTATTCTGATCTTGCTGTTTTTTTCTTTTGTACAACATCTTTTAAGCTTCTTCTATTACTCACTAAACTGTGGTAAAGACTTAGAGGAACCAGTCCTCCTCTTAGTATTTGCATTTTACTAGTCCCACCTAACACTGTGGTAACTAGGCGACTAGGTACCCAGGGTCATTGAGCTCTTTAGGAGCAGGGCAAGAATAAGATGCTACTTTCTTGACTACACATCCAGAAAACCTACTGGACTTGAACTTGGCAAAGAGACCAACTGATGTTCTTCCCTTCAACACGGGCCTTACCTGGTTGGTCATTTCCTTAACCAAGGATCAAGGGCAAAAGGCCAGACAGTTCTGTGGAAACAACACCAGGATTTCAGTGAGGGGTGTCATCAGGATAGAAGGGCACACAGGAAGTTCCCCTTGACCAAGAAAATAAGGCAACTCCTTATTATGAAGTTGTTCTGACACCCTTCTATGGATCAGTCCCTGGAACCTCCTTCACACTCCCTACCAGGTGGTATGGTCTTTTTTCTTCCTCTGAACCTAGGGACTCAACTAACAGCTAACGCCATCCCATGGTTTCTTCACCTCAAGTGTGACTACAGAGAGTAACCAGTCTCTGTCCTTTGCTGCTTTTTAGAGAGAAGAAAACCACTTCTCCTTTTAATATTAAATATTATTTATTAAAAACAAACAAGGGGAAATCCAAAGATGGTAAAGTTCTTATGTTACACGCAAAGGTCTCAACCAAAAATGCCTTTAAGAGCCAATAGTCAGGTAAATAAGGGCAGAGGCTGGAGGGGGACACGGTGTCAAGAGATTGAGACCATCCTGGCCAACATGGTGAAACCATGACTCTACTAAAAATACAAAAATTAGCTGGGCGTAGTGGCGCGCACCTGTAGTACCAGCTACTTGGGAGGCTGAGGCAGGAGAATCACTTGAACCTAGGAGGCGGAGGTTGCAGTGAGCCAAGATCGTGCTACTGCACTCCAGCCTGGGTGACAGAGCGAGACTCCGTTTCAAAAAAAAAAAAAAAAAAAAAAAAGCCGGGCACGGTGGCTCCCGTTTGTAATCCCAGCACTTTGGGAGGCCGAGGTGGGCGGATCACGAGGTCAGGAGATCAAGACCGTCCTGGCTAACACAGTGAAACCCCATATCTACTAAAAATACAGAAGAAAAAAAAGAAAATTAGCCGGGCGTGGTAGTGGGCGCCTATAGTCCCAGCTACTCGGGAGGCTGAGGCAGGAGAATGGCGTGAACCCAGGAGGTGGAGCTTGCAGTGAGCCAAGATTGCGCCACTGCACTCCAGCCTGGGTGACACAGCAAGACTCTGTCTCAAAAAAAAAAAAAAAAAAAAAAAGATCTAATTTCTCAGGCTACATTAAGGGCTAATGGTTCTTATTTCTTTGTGTGTGCCATAGACCCCCTTTAGTGGCCTTTTCTTTCTTTTTTTCAAGATAGGGTCTCGCTCCATCATCCAGACTGGAGTGCAGTGGTGCAATCATGGCTCATTGCAGCTTCAACCTCCCAGGCCAAGTCTTCTCCCACCTCAGCCCCTTGAGTGGCTGGGACTACAGGTGCATGCCATGCCTGGATATTTTAATTTTTTATAGAGATGGGGGTCTCCCTATGTTGTCTAGGCTGGTCTTGAACTCCTGGGCTCAAGCGATCCTCCTGTCTGGGCCTCCCAAAGTGCTGGGATTACAGGTGTGAGCCACCAGACTCTGGCTCAGGATGTCTTTACAGAAAATACACAGGTTTAGAAATGAAACCAATTACAGTAGGTTCTCATTATTCACAACAATTATGTTCTAAGAAGTTGCTACAAACACTAAATTATCCAATAGAGAACCACTGTTCCTTGGGAAACCGGTTCCTGAAAGCCTCTGGGCACATTCTTGTCAACCAATCAATATATAATCATGTTTTATGTGTGTTTATGTTTAAAGGCACTTACTGAATATACATTAGTAATTCATTAATATTGAACTCATACCTAAGCAAAGCTTATCTAACACACATATTTTCTCCTTAAGACAAATCACAGACTTCTTGCATTTAGAAACACTTCAGCACAATGCTTGGGGGCTATCTCAAACAGTGGAATCACCAACAAAAAGCACAGAAAAAAACGTAGCACCAAAGACTGCAAAAATGACATTTGCTTACAATATGAGAGCTGACAAGAAGGCAGTGTCACCTTGTTTGACTTCAGCTGAGAACATGCGCATCAAGCGACTAAAATTTTTATGTGAAAAAAAGTCATGTCTTCCAAAGACCACAAAAGCATTTTAAGTATTAATGTGGGGGCTACAGATAAATTTTAGTGAGTAGGTGAATTCATAAATACAGAATCCACAAATAATGAGGATAGACTATATACTAAAATTTTATTAAAATACAAAAACATATGTGCTTCTTTATTGGCTCATTATATATGCAATCTAGAAGCAAATTTAATAACTACCCTAATTTCAAAGTTGTAAATGAGCTTACACAATACCGTGATATGAAAATATCTGTAATTTATATTCATCACAAAGTCACACTGCTAATAATGTGATTTATTGCCTACATTCATAGTGGAAGAAAATGCTAAATTTCAGTTGGAGGTTAGGAAACAAAGATGCAATTTTTCCTCTCATCCAAGTTCCCGGCCCTCGCAGTTCTACCCACTGTCAGTTTAAGGGACCATACAGTTAAGGCATCCAGGTTCAGGTTACTTTCTTTAAATCTGCCAGCCCAAAAAGCTGCCGAAGTTTTCCAATAACAGAAAATCAAACAAACAATTTATAACTAATCCTTGCCTATGAAGATCTCAAATTGGTAATGTTTTGTTTTGGTTTTGTAAAGACAAGGTCTTATTATGTTGCCCAGGCTGGTATCGAACTCCTGGCCTCAAGCTATCCTCTTGTCTTGGCCTTCCAAAGTGCTGGGATTACAGACAGATTGGTAGTGTTTTATTCATTTGTGACCCATGAACAGGGTTCTTTCTGCCCAGGGTAGGAAAGACAGGAAAGCGCTCGAGCCAGTTTGGCTAATGGGAATGGTATTCAACCTCTGCTTGAGCACAGCCTTCTGCCTGCTGAAGCACAGGCTTGTCCTCTTCCCTGTCATTCTGGGCCTCACATTTGGCAATGGATAGAAACAAAAAAAGAAGTAAGGCTTGCGGTAAGTCAACCTCCAAAAACCCGGGTTCCAAAAGACAAGGGTATGATTCTATCAATGAGTGCACATTTGAGGATGTACAATGAATCTGGTCCTATTTTAAGTAACGCACAAAGATTAGCTCACTGAAACCTCATAACCCCATTTACTAGGTACAGTAGTTCTTTAGCTGAGGTTTTGATTTCCACAGTTCCAGAGGTCAACCATAGTTCAAAAATAGGTGAGTAGTGTGCAGTAAGATATTTTGAGAGAGACCACATTCACATACATTTTATTACACTGTTATAATTCTATTTTATTATTGTTGTTAATCTCTTACTGTGCCTAATTTACGAATTAAACTAAGTAATCATAGGTATGTATGTGTAACCTGTATGAGAAAAAACACAGTATAGATGCTTCTCAACTTACAATGGGGCTACTTCCCAATAAACCTATGTAAAGTTGAAAAATTTTACATAGGTAAACCACGGTAAGTGGTCAGGGTCCACGGTAAGTCAGTCAGGGTCCTTCACTATCCAAGATTTCAAACATCCACTGGAACGTACACCTCGCACTATTTTCTTATTATCAGTTCCACTTTTCTAATAAGAAAATGGAAGCTTAGAAGCGGTTAAGGAAGCCCCCAAGGGACACTATAAGGTGGATACAATCTATAGTATATGCTACCAAGATACACTACCTCTTACTTCAGGGTCTTATGAAGGTCAGAGCTAAGAGACTTTAGACCTTAGCCCTCTCCTGCCATCTTCTCTCTTTGGGAAACTTTTCCCTAATTTTCCCAGGCAGAATTCATCACTGGCTCAGTGTTTCCAAGGAACACTACAGATGCCTCGATGAAACTACTCAGGCAAGTCAACAGCCCACAGTATTGCACGGTACTTGGCGTAAAGCGAACCCAGCCTCTGTCTGTACCCGTCCAGTGATGTCTGTATCTGTCCAGCACGCTACCTAAGAAGACAAGCGTGGCCCACTACTGGAAAACTTCGGTTAATACCGTCCTCCCACCTACGGATAACTGATCTCCTCCGCAGAGAAACCAGCCCTAATCTCGGTGCTGCCCAGAACATCCTCAGGACGCAAAAGGAGGCCACCTACGGGCCTCCCCCTCTCCCCTCAGGCCCCGTACACCGAGGGACAGCCAGGGCAAATGGAGTCACGGAAGCCACCCTCAGGTCCCAGGGCCTGCAGCATCCCTGAACGGACCTGCTTACAGGCAGCGTCGGGCCCAACCTCGCTCACCCGCCCTCTGGCCTGGACCGTCAACTGCCCTAATGACAGCCATCCCCAACGGCCCTGCGCTCCAACTCACCACTGCACTGCCAGCCTGCACGTCGGAAGCCGGGCTCAGCGCGACTGCGACGCGCAAAGATGAGCTAACGAGGGGGCGGGGCATTACGCCGGCCCCGCCCCCACGGCGCGGAGCACGCCGCAGCGCCCCCTGCCGTCGCTACGCCGGGTGCGGGGAAGATGCCGAGGGCGAGTGGGCGGAGAGAGGAGGGAGGAAGCCACGCCCTGCTTCCAGAGGCGTGGTAGCTGGAAATTTGCTCCCGGAAGCGCAGACGTTTAGCTTCCGGCAACTGCAGGTTTAGGGGCTTGTGTTGCAATTTCATTGCAAAATAAATTTGTTGCTAAAATAAATTCAGTGAAATCGAGCTTTGTCTTTCAAACTGCTAGTCATGACCCATTAGCGTGACAGATATCAGTTTAATAGGTTGTCACTGGCATTTTTTTTTTTGGAGGGCCAGGCAGAGTGGCTCACGCCTGTAATCCCAGCACTTTGGGAGCCGAGGTGAGAGGATCGCTTGAGCTCCTGATTTCCAGACCAGCTTGGGCAACATAGCGAGAGACCTCGTGTCCACTAAAATTCCAAAAAATTAGCACATGCCTGTAGTTCCAGTTACTTGGGAGGCTGAGGCAGGAGGATCCCTTAAGCCCTGGAGGTTGAGGCTACATTGAGCCGTGATCACACCACTGCACTCCAGCCTGGGGGGTAGAGCTAGACCTCGTCTCAAAAAAAGAAAAAAAAAAAAAAACAGATGGGGCTGGGTGTGGTGGTTCATGCCTGTAATCCCAGGATTTTGGGAGTCGGAGGTGGGTGGATCACTTGAGGTCAGGAGTTTGAAACCAACCTGGCCAACGTGGTGAAACCCCATCTCAAGTGAAAAAACAGAAACAAAAACAAAATTAGCCGCGTGTGGTGGCACATGCCTGTAGTCCCAGCTACTTGGGAGGTTGAGGCAGGAGAATCGCTTGAACCCGGGAGGCAGAAGTTGCAGTGAGCCTAGATTACACGACTGCACTCCAGCCTGGGCAAAAGAGTGAGACTCTGTCTTGAACAGCAACAACAAAAAAAGAGATGGGAAGAGGCTCATGCCCCATTTTCGAGGCCGCCCTGTGGCTCAGATGTGGTGGCTCACTCCTGCAATCCCAGCACTTAGGGAGACCAAGGTGGGAGGATTGCTTCTGGCCATGATTTCAAGACCAGTATGGGCAACATGGTGAGACCCAATCTCTACAAAAATTTTAAAATTGCAGACGCAGTGGTGTGCACTTGTAGACCTAGCTACTCGGGAGGCAGGGGTAAGGATCACTTGAGCCCAGGAGTTTGAGACTGCCCTATGATTGGGCCACTGCACTCTAGCCTGGGTAACAGAGTGAGACCCTGGTTCTAAAAAATATTTTTCAAAAAAACTAGTTTTAAAGTTCAAAAATATAAATATAAAGAGAGATGGAGGACTATTAGACCACTTACAAATAGGTGAAGTTCATCTTTGGGGGCTTTTTTTTTCTTTTAAGACAGAGTCTCGCTGTGTTGCCGAGGCTGGAGTGCAGTGGTGCAATCTCGGCTCACTGCAACCTCTGCCTCCTGGGTTCAAGTGATTCTCCTGCCTCAGCCTCCCCAGTAGCTGGGATTACAGGCACGCACCACCATTTTTACAGGCACGCACGCCCGGCTAATTTTTTGTTTGTAGTAGAGACGGGGTTTCACCATGTTGGCTAGGCTGGTCTCAAAGTCCTGACCTCAGGTGCTCCACCCCCTCGGCCTCCCAAATTGCTGGGATTACAGGCGTAAGCCACTGCGCCTGGCCATCTTTAGGGGCTTTTTGAGGAGGCTGTGTGTGACCAGAAATTGGCAAATACACCACATCTCCCAGGACCTATTCTCTTGTCCTCAGTAATCTCACATTAACACAAAAGAGAAGACATCCTGCAACTCTTCTGTTGTGCACGTGACTTCCCTGCATGCCAGCATCCTTAACGCTCAAGTTCACATGTTTTGAAGTGATATGACTAATTTTTCTCACTCACATTGACTGGAGAGCTATTTCTCTCCTTCCCAGCTCTGTGACATCTCTGTCCACAGAAATTTCATCTGGTCCAGGTGGACCCTCTGCATGTCACTGGCTTAGAAAGTTTGGGTCAAAGTGAGCAGACTTCAAGACTGAATTGTCAAAATTCTTTTGTGGCATCTCCTATAAGTCAAGATATCCTTGTAACCGTTTTGGATCTATTGGACCAGGGGGCAGGCATGTGCCCCTGAAGCTAAGGAAGAATGTACAAATTATATCATGAAGCCAGTGAGATGATTTTCAAACGTAGAGAATTTCCTTTAGATTGACTTAAGTGCTGACTGGTGTTCTGGCACATTCTACAGAGCTAAATACACAGAAACTGACCCTGCATTGGCTGCGATGTGGGTTCCCGAAGTGCGGGAAGGAATTAACATTAGTACTACAAAGCAATGGCTTTTAGCAGTTAAATGAGTGATCTGCCGCCTTCCGGTATAACCAGTTGCCTTGGTTTTGGCCAATCCGCTGCTTTGTTTTTTGTTGGTGACATTTACGGGTTTTTGTGGGTTTTGGAAATAGATTATTATGTAACTTCTCCCACACCAAGATAATTGGGCTATCTTCACTCTAACTTTTAGCTTTTGAATATGAAGAAGTATTTTTGAAAGACTCCCACTTTAAGAATGGTGAAATTTTGGCTGTCAAAAGTGCTCACAACTGTATGACTAAGTGAATTTTAATTTGTGTGATCTGGGGTTATGTGAGGTTTTTTTCTTTTCTACACATTAACTATAAATACCACACCTTCAAATTATTCTAAAAGCACACTGATCACATTTATGCCTTTTAACTTAAAATTTAATTAAAATTTAAAATTAAAAAAGCATAAATGTGATCAGCGTGCTTGTAGAATAATTAAGCCAAATACTAAGACTTTCCATTTCTGTTTATTTGCTCCCAAATCTGCTACTATTAATTTTCAACTGAAGCAAGTTGTTTTGGATAAAAATTCAATTAATCGTCTCAAAAAAGAGAAATGGAATACATTAAGAAAAAAGTAGAATAGAAGATATAAGAGTACCTCATACATAGTAAAGTTACATCATGTTTTATAAAAACTGTTTCACCCATGAGGTTACTGGGTCACAAATGAAAATCCATTTCTTGCTAGGAGTCATGACCAAACACTTTGAAAATCATAGTACTAAAGACTTTCTAGCTTTATAATTCTATAATTATGAAAAGAACTCCAAACCATTCATTCAAAAAGGATGTAATAAGTACCTACTTTCACCCCATCCCCCCCAGAGGGCCAGGCATATGGGATCACTGGCATGACCTTAGCACTGGGACTATAAAGCTAGAATAATTGGCCTTTTTTAAACTGTGGATGTCTCAGGCATCTGATGAAGTCTATGAATCCTGTCTCAGAACAATGGGTTTTTTTCTTTTGGAAGAAAAAATTTTAATTGCTATTGCAAAAAAAAAAAAAGTCCGTATGGAGTAGAAATTGGTTTTGATAGCATTATTACAGAATACGTTCTAGAAAGTGGAGGTAACTGGATGTAAGATTCTGGCAGCAGTTTAATAGAACAGTCCCAGATGCGTAGGTTGAGGCCAACGCCTAATTAGGGTGAACGGTTTGTGTTTGTGCGTGTGTAATTTTGGACAATATAAGGAGAAACGTTACACTGTGCACAAACCAAATTTAATTTTTTACAAGTGTTGTAAAGTTTCATATAGTAAAAGGTCTTTGCTACATGCACTTCATTTTCACATTAAGAGTGTTTAGAATACCTAAACACAAAAGAGATCATTCATGCAAGATATGCCACTCCTTGATATAATAATGCGTGCAGTTCAAAATGTTCACACTTTTTTTTTTTTTTTTTTTTTTTTTTTAGATGGAGTTTCGCTCTATCTCCCAGGCTGGAGGGCAGTGGCACAATCTTGGCTCACTGCAAGCTCCGCCTCCCGGGTTCACACCATTCTCCTGCCTCCCAAGTAGCTGGGACTACAGGCGCCCGCCACCACGCCTGGCTAATATTTTTTGTATTTCTTTTAGTAGAGACGGGGTTTCACCATGTTAGCCAGGATGGTCTCGATCTCCTGACCTCATGATCCACCCGCCTTGGCCTCCCAAAGTGTTGGGATTACAGGCGTGAGCCACCGCGTCCGGCCAATGTTTACACTATTGATGCAGTAGCTGCTGCCATCACAGGGCTGTGGTGGGGAGGCACAGCCGGGGCTGCATGCAGGTGGATGCCTCGCCCCTTCTGAGTTGGGGAGAGCACCCCGGGTGCTGCTGCAGCCGCCCAAACCGCAGCTGCAGACTCAGGCCTCCTGCTTTACGGAGCAGGCAGGATCCCCACCCTCCTGGGCGAGGCTACAACTGCCCAAACTGCGGCTGTGGATCCGAGCCTCCCTGTGCTCTTGGAGGGGGCTGGCAGCAGGCAAGATCTGCCCTCCTAGGTGCAGGACCCCGAGAGTTTCTGCAGCCTGCACCCTCGTGGACCCCAGAAAGGACCCCACTGCCCCTCCTTCCCCCTCAGTCGCTTGGGGGTGTCTGTTCCTGCTGCCTGGCCTCTCTCGGCTGACATCCCTGCTCTGATCTTGGAACAGGGCTTGGGGCCAAACCCCAGAGGCCATGAATGACAGTGGGAGGCAGATTGATTCCTGGGCAGAAGGGGGTGGGTCTCCAGTAAGGCCCATCTTCAGGTCAGGGAGGGACTGAAGACTGGGGACCAGGCTGCCAGTCCCGCAGACCTGAGTGGGAGCTTGTAGTGCCTCCTCCAGGCCCACCCATGGCTGCCAATGGGCCAATCGGCACACACTTCCTCCTGTCTGAGGTCCATAAAAGCCCTGGGCTCAGCCAAACTGCAGGAGAGGACAGAGACACAGCAGGAAGAGTAGCTGTAGAGAGGAGCTACTGTCTGCCAGAGCTGCAGAGACCTGAGGAGACTTTCAAAGGACCTGCGAGAGGAGGCCCCCTCCTCCTGTAGAGACTTCCAAATGACCTGAGGAGAGGATCCCCCAGAACAGCCTCCTTCTCCAGGAGCAGGTCTTTCCTCTGCTAAGAGCAGCTCCCCTCTTCAGGGTTGGGTCTT